ATCAGACCTGCTAAGTTTCTCCAGGAATTTCTTTTTTGTTTGTTTCAGATCTTCAACATCCGCAGTTCTTTGTTTCGTTTTGGTGGTTAATTAGAAATGCGATTGCGAGGAGAATCAGCCTTTCTGCTGCTAAAACACATCGTACCGATTTTATAAAGAATACTAACAAAATGTGCTATTACTTGTGTTTGAAAGGATTTTTAAATTGCGCACGCACCATCCATTCATTTCATGCTGTGGGAATATTTCCTGAAACAATCTCCCGTTCGGGACAATTGCTGCAGTTATTGTTTGAGGCTGTTCGTGTCGCTGTCTACCAATAAGAAGCTGAAACGCTGCCTTGGATCTACAGAGCTTCATCTGCCAGCTAAGAATCACAGAGCAGAAACGAAGAGAACACAGTACCTGCCTGTGTACCGTGCAGCCATGATCAGCAAAGCTCCTCAGGTCTGTGTATTTTTTTTCCTTCTTCTCTTCCATATTGAAGTATTGACATGCATCAGTATCGCTTCCCTGTAAGAGAAAAGATAAGGTAATTGATTTGCTGATCCATTTTACATCAGCATCTGCTTGAAAAGAATGGCAATAATGGGCGTGCGACTTTTATTTACTGCTTTACGCGTCGGACCTGTTTGCGGTCAAGCTCTCTCTTCGGTTCACGAGCAGCGGGAACACAAGGCCTTTGTTGAGCATATCGCTGAGTATTTGAGAGTAAATACGTGGGAATTATCCACTCGGAAGTCTCGCTGGTCTTTGATGAAAGAAGTTAATACATTGAGGTTAATTTGGAAATTTGAGCCGTATCTGTTAATAAAACGCTTGAGAATCACAGTGGGGACGCTTTTGTGTAGTGGCAGTAGCAGTCCGAAACCCAATGCTCTGGGGACGTGGGGTCGAATCACACGGGTGGTGATGAAGTTTGCATTTAAATTTAAAGGTAACGTGAAGTGGAGAGGTGGCCTAATGGTAGGTTGCCGTATAAAGCCATTCGCTTTTAGGGGAGGCAACTGCTGGTCACAGCTACTGCATGTGACTCGTGACCTACGGCAATGTGGTTAGCCGTTTATAGGGATATGTCAGAAATGCTGGCCAAGCTAACGAAGTCCTCGCCCAGCAAAGGAACAAATAAAAAAACAGATTGACAGAGACTAGAGCCCGAGAGTTACTGCAGCAGTAAAGAGGATCATGGTGTCTGTATCGGTCATCAGATATTCAAATTCTCTATCTAGCCCATAGACTTGCATGTTATGACTTTTTACGAGTTCACCTAAATAGTTAAGTGTCTTGGGGTTTCCTGCTTTCGCCACCCTTTCAGACAGTGAATTCGAGGTGTCCACAACTCTATGGACGAAAAACCCTTAGATCCATTCCGGATTCTTACGTTAATATTTTATCGCCATGACTATTGACCACTCTACTAAGGAGAAAAGTTTCTTTTTACCTTGGCTTTTATTGTCCCTCGGAACTTTCCATCCCTCAATCACAATGCCCCTCATCCTTGTCTGCTGTAATGGAAACAATCACAGCCTGTCTCGTCTTTTTCCGTAGCTGAATCTCTCCAGCCGAGCCAACACGCTGGCTAATCATTTTTTACTCTCTCCTGACCAATCACATCCTTCGTACGTTGTGGTGACCAGAACTGCACACAGTACTCCAGCTGTGACCCAACTTACATTACATGCAGCTCAAAAATAGTCACTTTGGTCTTGCATTCAGGGAGAGCAACCAGAGGCCCAGAGTTAAGCAGTGTTGTTTCCGTTCACTTTCTTTGCTAAAACTAGTGGATAATTATTTGAAAATAAACCCAGAATATTCTGAGAATATTACATGTAAACGATTTCCAAGCAGAGAATTTCAGCTGCAGCTCCGTCATTCAATTTAGCAGATGCGCGTTTCCCTATTGAAAGGGAGCACGATAGGATGCCAGCCTTAACACTATCAACACTTCCTAGATCCTCCTGGAAATGGGTTTCAGCCCCATTGTGACTATTGACGATATTTCAGTTCGATAAAAATCTGGCCTCAATAACTGGTTGAATCGGTATGTAATTTAAAGTTTGTGATATTATTTCTTAAACGGCAAGATGTTGCAAAGTATCGATGTGTAAAGAGATCATCAATGTTTCACTGAAGTCTAACATGCACGTGCAGCAAGCTGCCACGAAGGCCAATTGAATAGTAACCTTCAATGCAAGAGGATTTGAATACAGGGATTGTCAAGTACTGGTTCAGTTTTATAAAGATATGTTCCACGACAGAGGCAATGTCGTGCACAGCACCTAAAGAACGATATTTTTGAAATAGGGGGAGTCCATGAAGAACATTGGGCAAATTGGGCTTGTATTCTCTAGAGTTTTGAAAAAGTGATCTCATTCAATCCTAGAGCATAATTAAAGGAATGGAAGAATAAATTTAGATTTAGATTTGGACTTTATTGTCACGTGTACTCAAATACAAAAATACAGGAGTACAGTGAAAAGTTTTCAATTTCGCCACACACAGTAGCGCCATCTTAAATGCAATTACGTACGTACAAAAACCTAAGAATGAGGTAGAAAGAAATAAGGAACAAAGTTAAAAGTTAAACATTACAGTCACTATATCATAGATACAGGAGAGATGATTCCCCTAGATGGGGATACTAGCTCCATCGGGCACAATTTTAAAAAGTGCCCATGTAGAACCAAGCTAAGGAGGTTTTATTTTAAATTAAATCTATGTGATCATTTGGAATTCCCTCTCCAGAGGGCTGCGGAAGCTCAATCTTTATGAATGTTTTAATAATGTTTAACATATATTTTCAGACATTTCTAGTTGCCAGTGGGGTAAAGGTTTATGGGGATAGATGAATGAGAGACGTTAAAGTATTAGGTTAGTAACATGACAGGCGTGGGCGCCTGAATGGTCAACTCCTGTTTCTATGTTTCTAGGTTCCGATCACTGTGAATGCAACATGGCGAATGTTGAGAGTTCGATGGACTGAATTCTCTTTTTGTCATCTGTTACCAGTGGCCTCATTATTGCTGTCTATGTTGTCCATCATCGAGGCCAAACATTGCGATTTTCTTTCCATATTGCGATCTCCTTCTCTTCCTCCGAATTCTTAGACAAAATCTAATATTTAAACCGTTCAGGATTCGTCCATCATTTTAACAGGATTTTGTTTCATTCTGAACAGCTGTTATTTTCCTAATGGACGTTTTTATGATGACGGCCCGAACTTCTCGTATTCTAATTCTTTTTATGTACCCCTTCAACTCATCTGTTCATTCTTAACTTCACGAATATATGCAGCACACGCGCCGCAGTTCAACATCTGCGGCTTTTCTTTAATTCTTTTCGTGAACATGAGTCATTAGTCGCGTTTACTTCTGCGCTGTTAAAATATGAATATTCTTGATCAAATTAATTCTTTCCAAAAGCAGATTGAGGAGTACGACATTCGAGTTCAGTTATGAGTCAACCCTAGAGCTATTTAGTTTGGTGTCCGTCTAAATATCAGGGCCATGTACGCAGTGTTTGGTGCTCGTTTAAACTGATTTGAAATGTTCCAAAAGATAACTCACTAAAAGGCTGTAAGCACTAACGATTTTAGTAGATATGACGATGTTCAGTATGCTATGATTATCGAAGAATATCAAAGGACACGCAGCTGTCTACCTCATTCTTTTCACATTACCGCATGGGTTCATTAGTTTCGCGGAATACAGGCGTAATTTCCAAGTTTTAATAGAACGCCAGCGGAAATATTGAACTTTAGGGGAAGCACGCTTATGTATTGGGTGTTCACATTCTTGGAGATGGTCAGGGTGCCGCTGTTTGCTCCTGGACGAGGGTGATAAGTTCACCAGAAAGGTATACCAATAACATTCAAACAGAGTTAGCGTTCGTAAAAAGAACCAAATAAACTGACTTGTGATTACTATTAAGTGAGAGAAAATATCTATTACCAATATAGCGATTAGGGTCATTGGTATTCAAAAAAATAAAATGACAGGATCAACATCTTGGAAATATTGTTGGCTTTTTCAAGTACTAAAGTTATTTAAACCCTCTTAGCATCAGTAAATCGAATTTGAGTCCGGTAATTTTTGTAAAGTTGATAACCTACGAATTATTTCGCCGGAGCCCCAGCGGAAGATGAGCGCAGGAGCCGAATCCCACTGCAGCAGCGGAGCGAGCGGGTCGAGTACCGCGGCGGAGTGAGTGTGTCGTTTTGCGGCAGGAGTCCCGCAGCGGCAGTGGAGAGGGCCAGCGACCGAGCGGCGGCTGAGCGGGAGGCCGGCACGTCGAGGCAGCGTGGCCTCATGTTCTGGGGCAGTGGGGAACCAACTCATGTTAGAGAGGGACTGGAACTTAAGTACTTCTGGTCACTTCTATCATCATTCTGGACTTTTTAAACTTTGTTTCTATGCTAGCCTATATAATTTTTTAACTCTGTAACAACACTTAAAGTATCTGTACCTGGCTACACTGTACATACGATGGCGCCGAGAGGGCACATTACAAACTTTTCACTGCACTCATTCGAATGCACGTGACAATAAAGGTTATTCTGATTCTAAAGAGTGGAATAACAATAAAGCAGCTAAACATGACCAACCATTGATGACGAAAATGATGTAATTATCAAACAGCTCATGATTTCGATACACCACTTTGAAAATAAAACCGAAATGCAAAGTTCTACTTTCAGAATATTTTTAATTGTACACTCGTAATTTGAAAAGATCTCTAAAGGGTCTAGCTTTAAGAATGGTTGCAGTTATTGGGCGAAACTCTTCGTGTCGCTGTCTACCAATAAGAATTCGAGAGTTTTGAGAGATCGACCGCCTCCTTCGTTGGGCAAACAGAACCAAAGGGGCAGTCGGTGTCTGCGTTTCTTTTGTGCGGTCACGGTCAGAAAAGCTCCCAGGGTGATTAACTTTTCGTTGCTAGGTTCAAAAATAGTATATTAATATACAGCTAGCTTTTTTTTCTGTCAGAGGTGACGCATCAATATGATAATGGCGACTGTACTGATGAACCGGGTGTCTATCATTTTTTTGATCTGTATTTCCAACCTGGTTTCCGAACAACTTCGCTACTCGATTCCCGAGGAAATGGAACGTGGAGCCTTTGTTGGCAACGTCGCTGAAGATCTAGGATTAAAGGTTTGGGAATTACCGACTCGCAAAATTCTGCTGCTTTCTGATTACTCGAAGCAATACATGGAGGTAAATGTAGAAAATGGCTTCTTGTTTGTTAATGAAAGAATCGACAGAGAACAGCTTTGCAGCAAATCCGCTGCATGTTCTCTATCTTTCCAAATCACACTCGATGATCCTTTGGAAATATATCCCGTTGAAGTGGAGATACTAGATGTAAATGACAATTCGCCCGTCTTTTCGAAGAAGGAATTCTATTTGCAAATCAATGAGTTAAATGCGCCGGGCACTCGCTTCCCTCTCGAGAGCGCGCGTGATCTGGATGTGGGTACCAACACAATCAACACATATCAGATCAGTCCGAACAAGCACTTCGGTGTTAAAGTGCAGGCAAGAAGAGGTGGAAGTAAAAACGCCGAGCTGGTATTAAAGACGCATTTGGACCGTGAGCAGCAGGCAATGTTCACTCTTGTATTGACGGCTATCGACGGTGGGATTCCGCACAGGTCTGGCACAGCGCGGATCATTATTAATATCATGGACGGAAATGATAACCCGCCTTTATTCGATCATGAAACCTACAGGGCGTCTGCGCTAGAAAACATGGCGAATGGCTCTTTGGTCTTAAAAGTTCATGCTGTTGATGTGGACGAAGGGACAAACGCTGAGGTAACATATTCTTTCACAAATCATGTTTCCCAGAATATTCGAGAGTTGTTCAAATTGGACCCTGTGACTGGAGAGATCAGAGTTCGAGGAGTACTGGATTTTGAAGAAACAAATGTTTATGAATTTGACGTCCAAGCAATGAACTCAGCTCCACCTGAATTGTCAGCTCTTGCAAATGTTGTCATCGATGTAGTTGACACGAACGACAATAGCCCTGAGTTGCAAATAACAATGCTATCCAGTGCTGTACGGGAAGATGCTTCTTCGGGACTTGGTATAGCTCTCATCAGCGTAACGGATCGCGATTCTGGCGAATATGGTGAAGTTCAGTGTCAGATTCCAGAGAGCATACCGTTCAAGATCGAAAAATCTTTGAAGGACACCTACAAGTTGGTAACCAATGGCATTCTGGATCATGAAATATCTCCACTATACAACATCTCCGTTTCAGCCTGGGACGGTGGATTTCCTCCTCTTTCAGTAAGTAAATTCATTGTGGTTTCAGTAATTGATGTAAATGATAATGCACCAAAATTTACACAATTGTCATATAACGTGTATCTGACGGAGAACAATACACCCGGTGCTTCTATATTTGCTGTGAGTGCAACGGATGCTGATTTGAATCAGAATGCAGAAGTCTCTTATTCTATTATCGATAACCAACAGCAAGAAGAAATGCTTTCTTCTGCCTACATCACGATTAACTCTAAAAATGGGAACATTTACGCGCTGCACTCCTTCGACTACGAGCAACAGAAACATTTCCGGGTGAAAGTCCGAGCTCAGGATGCTGGATCGCCTCCACTGAGCAGCACTGTCCTTGTAAATGTTATTATATTGGATCAAAATGACAATGCACCCATTATTGTTTCACCTTTAACATGGAACAACGCAGCGACAGTGGAAGTTATACCCCATTCAACATATCCAGGATATCTAGTCATCAAGGTAATTGCCACTGATGAAGACTCTGGTCAGAACGCAAGGCTTTCCTACGAATTACTGGAATCTACGGATGCTGGTCTCTTTACTGTTGGACTTCTCTCCGGAGAAATCAGAGCAACGCGAACATTTAATGAACAAGATATCATTGCCCTACGCGTGGTCGTCTGTGTGAAGGACAACGGACAGCCAAGCCTTTCCAGCACCGCCACAATATCCTTTACCATAACGTCCAATGTTACTGAGAAATCATTTGAACACCGAGATGAACCCAGACGTTCGGATCATTTTTCAGGTTTAAATAGTTATTTAATCATCATTTTTGGATCCACTTCCTTTTTGTTTCTCACAATAATATTATTTTTGTTAACCCTGAAGTGCAGACAAGATAGAAATACTGCTGCAGACTATAGCTCTGCAGTTTGCTGTTGTAATGGGAGGAATGCGAATGATGGCTTTAATCGTACACCAACAGGAAGGGATCCTTTGAATTATAGCGGGACCGTTCAGACCGGAAGTTATCATTACAGTGTGTGCTTGTCACCAGAATCATCGAAGAGTGACTTTCTGTTTTTAAAACCCTGTAATCCTACGTTGCCTTTCAACGATCTGAGTGTTCATGACAGCAACGCAAGAAACTAAATTGGACAGCAAACTATTCTTTGAATAACAGATAATTCTTCGTGAATGATTATGATGTTTTCAATTAGAGAATCACTGCTATACGTAAAGAGGATTTTCATATTGATACTGGAATGCTTATTGTGCATAAGTTTCTAACTGCTGTTGCTATATTTCCATGGATTCTGCAATAGTATCCTTGTCTAATAATCTGACATTTTCTGCTTTGAACAGCATTCCTTTAATTGAAAGTTATTACAAAACCTATGCCCCCTCCGCCCTTTTCATGATTCTGTCTTTAATAATAGTTGTATATAAGTATCAGAACTCCAATATTCGTACAGAATCGATAACCCTTTACTTTGAACAGCCTGTATTTCTCGTAAGAGCGGATTGCACATTCATATCAACGGATTGCAGGAGTGAAGACGTTAATTTTGGACTTGAGTGTCCACTGTGAAGTAGTGGCCACAAAACAAAGTGTTAGTATTTTGTATTCGTTTGCGTTAAAGTGTCAACTGCCATTCATTTTGCAGGAATCTTACCAGATTACCCTTTCAACTTCTCTACCTTGTGCGCAACGCGCTTGATGCGCTGCATGACTAATTTACCTGTAATGCGAGCTCACGTTTTGGTTTATTTTTCCCTAAACAGCATATCCGGAATTAATTAATTATTACCCACTTCAAATCTTCGAGGAATGTTTTGCGCTGGCCTCGAACTTAGAAGATTCCAATTATCATCCAGAAATTCTAAACATAAAATGCAGGCTGCATGTCCAGTCGAGTATAAACGGCGACCTGCGCCGTTCGTAATGCCAAGCTTTGGATAACAGAAATACCTGGCATATGTTAAAAGCGAAACCCTTTTTTTTGCGCTCTCATGTCGATCAAAATGTTGCTAGGACACTTCTTCAAAGAATAGCGGAGTGTCCTTTTCACTATTCATCCAGACATCTGTAAAACACCGATTAGCTGTCTCTTGCCACTTTGCTGTTTGTGGAAACTTATTTTGGATCTTTGATTCACGGAGCCGTACATTACAGAAGTGGACCTTCAGCCATCGAGTATATACCGCTAAAAATACACTAAATCCAAAGTCGCTCAATTTTCCAGCAGTAAGCATATAGCTTTAATGTTATGATATTTCAAGTGTTCATCCAAGTACTTCTTTAAATGTTGTGAGATTACCATCTCAACTACCCTACCAAGCAGTGGATGTCAAACTTCGTCAGATCACCATGCCTCCTTCATTTGAAAAGGTCGTCCTGAGCCGAAAAATTCTTTCAGGGACTCTGAATCAGAGAAATGTGTTGTAAAATTACTGTTCCTTCTTTCCTGTATCTATTGTTTTTATGTTACTATGTGGCTAATGCTTTGAATGTTATTAGCATTTTCTGGCTAATTTTCATTTATTAGTTAACTATTTTAGAAATTGCTATTGAGAAAATGAATGGGTCACATTCGCATCATAAAGAACTTTATTTCACAAAAGTTAACAACCAAAATGTCTGATACCTGCAACGCCGATGTACCCACCGTTTTGGAGAGAAATTAATTGTATCCACTAATCCACCTGGCGGGAATGTTTGCTACTGACTCGTTCATCAGGCAATATTTTGCTATTTAGTTAAACGAACTGAGAGTGGAAGTTACATTGCTCACAGAGAGCCTGAACAAACGTAGAAACACTTTATAATAAGAGTTGACTACTTAACTCAGTAAAAATTGTTTTCATCCAATAATCGAAATTCAAAGACTTTCAGCTCTCATGATTATGACTGGTGTCAGACAAGCTTTAGAGAGTCAGAAACTGAATTACACAGAACCTCAAGCGCTGATGTTAGTCAAACGCTTCAATGAAACTGCTGGAAATGTTAATATAAAATATTAATTATTTTAATTACATGGGGAGCTTGCCAATGGTACTTCCATTCAATTTCAAGTAGAAATGGTCAGTGACATGAATCAAACAACCTTAAGCTTGTCAGACAAAAGTCTCGATGCTACCCAGTTGTCACTTGGATTGGGCTGCTTTTGTTATCGAGGACTCAGGAGTAAAGCTGAACATGTAGAATCTTAGACTACAGTCCCACTTTTTACCTTTACGATGGAGGTAGGGCTATTAATGAAGCAGCTGAAGGTCGGTATTGGACACTGAACCGAGGAATTCCTGCAGTTCTGTAGCTAAAATATTCCACGCACTCCATTTTTCGCTGATCCAGCTTCAACTGAAATTTGAGGATCTTTATTTTTGCCCGATCTTGTTTGTTTTCAATTTGCATAGAGCTTCTTGGTGCTATATTCAGAACATGCAGCATTGCTATCAATCAGGGCAGTTTATTTTACCTCACATATGGAATAGCAATGCTTTGTTCGGATCTGAACATCAGTTGTAAAGCTTTGCAGCGGGAGTGATGCTGCCGAGCCCCCAGTGAGCACCACCGGTAGATTTGCAGGGGAGCAACTGTTGCTTAATAGCACTACTGATGATGGCTCCCTTCCCCTGCTCCTGAATTAGAGGTAGACCAATAGGGCGGCGGATGGCTGGATTATGCTGCTTGTTTCAACAGAGCCCACCTAGGCAATCTTTCACGTAGATGTTAGCATTGCAGATCGTCTGAGGAAATTCTGGCTAGGGCAATTTTTGTTTATGAAATATAGCTGTCTTGCACGCCAGCTTGGGGTTTTGTCTGGTCCAAAATTGATCGTGTATCCAGTGTCCAGTTTTAGTACTTGGCGTCACATTGAGAGAATACAGCGTGTGAAATACTGGCCTTGAAAATAGTTGGGATCTCAACAGGAGAAATGAGCAAACTTTAATTATTTGCTGAATGGCTTTCACGCTGCTCATCATGGAAAATGAAAAAGAAAGGAATAAAAGGAAATATTTTATTTAAGTATTGCACCTTCCGATATCAAGGCTTCTCAAGCTATGCACAGCAAAATACTTATTTTTATTCATTTATTGTCCGCCCCTAGTTGCCCTTGAGAAGGCGGTGGTGAGCTGCCTTCTTGAACAGCAGCAGCCCTTGTGCCGTAGGTAGGCTCCCAATACCATTAACGACAGAACATTGTGATTTTGACCCATCGACAGCGCAGTACTGGCGACGTATCTCCAAATCAGGAGGGGGAAGAGCCTTGGAAGAGAACTTGCAATTCATGGTGTTCCCATGTATCTGCTGTCCGGTCCTTCTAGGTCTTAGGCTTGGAAGAGGCGAATTTCTGACGAATAATTGCAGTTTTAATGCAATAAACATTGTAGCCAATTTGTGCATACTAAGATTGGAAAACACCCCTAACGTTAATGGGCAGAATCTTGTATGCACGTGGTGCTGTTTGAGTAATTGACCGCCACGATCTCGAGTTGCATCTGGTAAGATTGATTTCCGTGTAAGGTAATTTAGCTAAAGAGCTAAACGATCTTGCCGTTCAACAAATGCATCACTTTTTTAAAAACTTCACCAGGCTGAGAGCTCATTAGCAGTCTGCTAATGCTCCTGGTATGTTTACGCAGAGGACATATTAATTCAAATTTTTTAACCTAGGTTAATGGTAATCTATGGAAGTGAGAACTTTAATCGGGCCTACACATTGCGAGGCTACAGATTGTGCTGTTTTGCATATTTAAAGCTGCTGTCCTATGTTATCAAACGGGTGCTTATGCTTTGATTCCTCGATCGATTGTTAGGACTGAAAGGCAAACAGTTAAAAGATCCACTGTACCAGATGTACCATGCACTTGTGGCCGATCAACTGGGTCAAGTTTAATAGGAAATTCAGGCTGATGTCCTTTAAGTTGTTCACTATCTCGTGGCTTTAAATCAAGAATGTTTTACTTAAGTTCAGTAATAAATTGCGACACAGCTACTTTAAATAATGGAACGGGGCGCACCTTTTCACCGTGGACATCATAAAAATACAGACAACCTCGGAGTCTAATGATTGATAAATTTTACGGATCTGTGCCACTTCGTATGCAAAGTGCCAGATTCCCAGTGGAACAGGAGATTAGTCTGATGTGAAGAAAGTTTCAGTAAAGCTCAAGTCTGGTTGGCCACCCAGCTGGATTGGCAATGCGTATGAGGCTACAGGCTAGTGCATATCGAGTCTGGAGTTTGATACTGACTAAAAACATTGGGTTTCCTTCGTAAAACATGTTACTAACTTTGCGGGGTTTTACAAGCAGATATTTCTAGTTGCACAGTTTTTTTTTAAAAATCAGTACAATTTGCTAACTTTGCAGCTCGTTTTGTTCGATTCAATGCAATTCTTTAATTCACGAGCTGGCGTGATTTGCGATTCCTTTTTTTAATTTGAACGTGGGATCTGTGTGTCGATGGCAAAATCAGCTCGTCACTCATCTCTAACTACTCTTGGCAAGGTAGTAGCAAGCTGCATTTTTGAAGACCAGTTACAGATGACAGATAAACAGCTGCAGGACTTTGAACCATCGGCAATGAAGGATGAGCGAGTATTTTTAAGTGCTTAAGATTCATTGTCCGCCGTACGTTACTTTCATAAGGATGGGCAAGTCATTTACAATACTGCTTGATGTAGATTTGGAGGACAACTTTTACATTGTGCTGCTCCAGAACACCTACCGCCCTTGTTCTTCCAGGCAAGAGAATTTTACAGATGGTGCAAGCTGCTGATCCGTAAGCCTCTTCGGAGGAAAGCAATGTCTTCTGTGATCAAGTAGGATGGTTTGTGTTGGCTGACGCAAAGGTCTTGAATTCTGGGAACAACACATTCAGCCAAGTGGAGAGCACAACTTCAAATCTCAACTTGTGACTTGTAGATGCCAAACGTAATGGGAATTGAGGAATTTAGTTACTTGTTGCCGAATACCCAACGTTTCAATGACTGCTGTGTCAGCAACATGCATCTGCCTGGATCAATAACGTTTCTGACCAATACTGACGACAGGACGTTAATTGTGGGTGACTCAATTACTAAAATCGTCTCGGAAGTATAACTGGATAACCAAATGACAAACAAAGAATTTGTGAAATTTTAGGCAGAAAATACAAAACAAATTGAACAC